AGTAAATCAAGAGACTTGACTACAGTCAACTTCGACAAAAGGGTATGGGGGCTATAACAGGCCAGTCCATAAAAGCGACAACTGACAACGACAAGTGTTTCGACTACAACAAAAGGGTACCGACTGGATTCAGGGTATAAAACCATTGGCAAAAGCCAAATAGGTTAGAAACCCAAGAGTAGACCAAGAAACTTGACTACAGTCAATTACGACAAAAGGGTATGAGGGCTATAACAGTCAGCCCATAAAAGGCGACAATTGACAACAACAAGTGCTCTCAGTATTAAGAGACTTGATGAAGACCAACAACGACAAAATACTCTCAAAGCAGAACTTTGACAATCTTCAACTTTGAGAGTGGGGGCTATTGTTATGGATGATTTTCTACAATTCAGATTCCCTTTATTTAAGAAAGTACTCAGTTTCATGTTAAGTCATGTGTGTTAAACCATTATGTGTCATCATTTTCTAAATTTTTGTTTTGTTTCTTTTGGGATTGTCCCAAAGATGTTGTCAAAGAAATTGAAAGTTGTCAAACTGAAGGATAAATTGATGTCTGTATTTCAAACTGGAGATTACATTGTTATGCTTTCAGTAATTGATGTCGAGGTGTTGATTGATGAATTATTTGCATGAACCAAAATTTCTACCAAACTTAAAAGTTCAAATAATGCGACATATAAAAATATTCAATCCAAAATTATAAAAAATATATGTCATTACAAACAAAAAAGTTAACATTTATCGTTACAAAAAATTCTCCACACTTGGCGTTACAAACCCACCATAACAAAAATATTTCTTTACAAAATTATACTTTCACAACTACCACAGTAGAAATCTATAAACAGGGCTTACAACCATATAATCCCAGTTACAAGTTTATACCCTCCTTATTTTGATAGGCAACTTGGACCGGCTATTCACTTCAATTGCTTGAGAAGATGAACTTCGCTGCAATGTATTTAAAAAGTAAGGAAAAAAATGTTTACAACAAATATATTATTCATAATATTTATGGAATAGAAACATAATTCAAATTAATAGTTATTTGCAATACTAACCTGTGGATATTTTTCTTTATCAATTGGCCCTTTGCAACTCCTTTTGTTGTGGTCATATTGGTTTACATTTACTACATTTCATAGATAAGTGTCTCCTACCAACTGTGCTACCTTTTCTTGGTTCATCGAACTCTCTTCTTCTTAATTTCTTTGGCCTACCGAGAGCTCTTATAAGATGTGGTAGACTAATAACATTGAAATTTGTACTTGACCACAAGTTTGGACCGTTGGGTAAATAAGAGGCTCGTAGCATGCAATGTAAGCCTTCTTTTTATAACAATCTTCAACATACGTCTCAACATCATGCCCTTTATAGAAAATACAACTAATGGCATGTTGACATGGCAACCCACTGAGGTCCCATTTCCTACAACTACACGTTCTTGAATCAAGTTCTACAACGAATTTATCACAACCATTCCTAACCTCAAATTTCAAGTCACCGGCCCACACAGGTAACCAATTCCTACTATGCAGTTTCTCCTCCTCAATCTTCGTTTTAATTTTGGGACACACCTACCCTTCAAACTTTTCTATTTTATCTCTATTTTTTTGAAATCTTCTCATTAGATAAATTCTAATCCATTCACATAAAGAAATAATTGGTTGGTCTCTAGCTTCAAGTATAGTAGCATTAAATACCTCACATAAATTATTAACCACAGAATCACACTTAGATCCGCAACTAAAAACATGCTTACTTCATTTCTCACGAGGTACGGCCAACACCCACTTGTATGCACCTTCATCTACCTTCTTAATTTCTTGCATCTCCCTCTCCCACTGCTGATAATAAGTTGCGTTGGCTGMTCGCCAAAAAAGCTTTCTCAGCTGCATTCTAGGAAACCTCTTTCTCATGTTGCTATAGATGTGTCTCACATAAAAGCGATGTTCAGATTTTGGAATTAATTCATTAAATGTTGGCACTAAACCTTGCAAATATAAGTAAAATAAACATCACAAATACGTAAAGAAACAAAAAAATAATTGTAATTTAAAAAAATAATGAGATTACCTTTTGTTGATCAAATATAAATGTAACTTTTTGACTTCCAATATCCACAAGTAATTTAGTCAAAAACCATGTCCACGAGTCTTTCGTCTTTGCCTCAACAATTGCAAAGGCTAACGGAAAATATTGGTCATTAGGATCTCTTCCAATTGCTGCAATTAATTGTCCTCCATAAGGGCCTTTTAAATGACAAGCATCTAAACCAATAAATGGCCTACAACCAGCAATGAAACCTTGTCGACATCCCTCAAGACAKATATACAACCGTTGAAAAGTATTGATTGTTATAATTCTACCAATTGATTTACCATCAACCTCTTCTTGTTCCTGTCGCACATCCAAGTTCAAAAAGAGCACTACTATCTGGATTGGATCTGCGTATCTCCTCACAATACTCCCATAATCGACTATATTGCTCTTTGTGTGATCCATGCACTATATCTAAAGCCATTTTCTTTGCTCTAAAAGCTTTCACTTTATTAATTTGTGAAATGTAATTACATTGTACCTTATCCTGGATGGCTTTCAATCTCATATCTGGTTGTTCCTTCACATCATTTACAATCTGCCTACTTAGCCACCTAGATGTTAGGCGTAGATTGTTGAAGGATCTACTACACGAGTGCTCACCAACAAAGGTCTTCAACTGATAAGTCATTTCTCCTTGTACCTTGGCAACATAAGCCAACCATTTACAACTATCCACACATTTGGCTCTAACTCTAGTCTTATCATTTTTCACAAATTGTATTTGTCATCCTCCCTTAACAGCATAATCATCTACAACATTCTTGAACTCACTCAATAAGTTAAATAACATGCCTAATTCAAAGTATGGTTTCTCATCACCTGTTATTTCTCTATAAATAGGATATTTTGTTACAACACAAACTTCAGAATCARACGAGTCTTTTAATGAGAGTAGCTCGCTAGAGTCAATATCATTTCTGCCATCATTATTCTCAACATTATCATATGTTCTTATGATATCCGATGGTTTTGAAGTACCCTCTACATCCTTATCAACATATATATTAGACAATACATCATCATCATCTTCAAATTCAGATTCACAACCACTCATATATGGTAATGCATCACTATCATTGTCTAACAATATTGCTTCATCCTCACATTCATGTTCTACATATATCTCAAATGTCATTCCATCACTTAAAAGGCTAGCTAATTCTATGACATCTTTATCAGATTCTATTACTCGATAACCACCCACCTCTTTTGTTGGATCCCTACCCCACAATTTTAGATAATTATAGTACCCCAATTGTTCAACAACATCAACTACATCAAAGAAAGACCAATAATCTGGATCAAAATTTGTATAGCAATCCACCTTACCACTTATGTATTGAATATATGGCTCATGCATAAAATAACCATTGTGATGCACTTCTACTACAAAATTTGTCATCTCTGCATATAGAATAAAATATAAATATTAGTTGTAAATTACTTTAAGATTGTTTGAATGTGACACATGTAAAAAATACGTGCACAAAATTGACAGCAGCCGCAAATTGACTCTCGATAGCAACACAAAATAAAGGAAGGTTGATCTCCAACACTAAGGTACTGCCAAGGGAGGTAAGTTTAGGACATATAAAGGCAATATTCATGTTTTTGGGCTGGAAATTGGAATTGATAGCAGCAGCTTGACACTTGACACCAACATGAAAATTACTTTTGTCTGTAGAAATTAAAATTGACAGTAGTAGTTGCTAGCAGTATCACATATCCATCTTTTTCTTTTTTTTTTTTTCTTTTTTCTAATTATATTCATTTAACCAAAAATGATAATTGATATGGGTGAATTGGAAAATAGTGTCCATATGAGAATAAGCCCTAAATAGAATTCCCTTTCCTAGAAAAAAAATTGCAACAAATTCATAAAAGGGAAAAAAGAAACAAAAACAAGAATAAAATCCTATCAATCGTTAAGAAAAAAAATCACAAAATCTAAAAAGAAATAATATTAAAACAAACTCTACATAAATTAAAAAACAAAATCGCACCACTAAAATAAACTAAGATTCTCTAAAATAGAACACTCAAATGGGGATGAAGTAGAAACCTAGAAAGAGATGAAGTATGAGTTTAGAAATTCTGCATAGGTTGGGAGTTTTATGGTGGAGGATGAAGCGTGAACGAAAGGGAGGAAATTCTGTACCGATTGAGAGTTCGATGGTGGAGAAGATGAAGCGGGAGGAGTCGTAGAGAGAGCAGTCGTGGGTGAGAAATTGAGTAAAATTTTCATTCTTTTATTTTTAAAGCCCTAAACCATTTTAAATACGAATCGAACTGAACCGATGTTGAACCAACTCGCCAAATGGATTTTAATTTGTATACATCAGTCCTAAATGGCAGCCACGCCAGCGATCCGTTAAATCTTAACCTCATTTTTAACGGTAGGGACTAAATTGTAACCAATTTTAAAGTACATGGACTAAATCGTTACTTTTGAAAGTTCAGGGACTAAATCGTAACTCTAATGAAAGTACAGTGACCAAATGTGTTTTTTAACCAAATTTATACAACTTTTATTGGTTGGTATGATTTTATTATAAATTTATATTTAATTTATATATTTTGTACTTTGTTAATTAATTAATATCAATAGATGTTTTAAAATAGAATTTATTGTTATTAAAAATTATAATAATAATATTTAATAATAAAGGATATTTGTTCAATTTAATTGGTGTAATTTTATTTTAATTATTCGTTATTATTAATATTAAAGAAATTGTTATAATATAAAATATTTACTATCAATCCTATAGCAATAAAATAAATTAAAATTTTGTAACTAAAAAAAGATTAGTACAATAATATATTTATAATTGTTAAAGAGAAGAAAGAGGTATTTTAGTAATTGTTATATATCTGATTCCGATTCCGATTTCAGGTAACGAATTCTGATTCTGATTCCAATTCCAGAAAATTTATGGTAAACAACATGAAAGGAATATCATTCTCATTCTGATTGATTTCATTCCGATTGATTTTTATTTCGATTCATTCTCATTCCGATTTCTGGTCAGTAAACAGGGTCTCAGTTCATTTAGTCTTTGTACTTTCAAAACGTTTATTAGAATTCTTATACTTTCAAAACATCTATTTTGTTCCATGTACTTTTAAAATGTGATCAACGTGATTCTTATTTGTAAAATTTTTACACGAATTTTATACATAACTCTTTAATACAAATTTATAACTACATTTCAAGAAATTTAGCTATTGAAATGTCATGTTAAAATTAAATGAACAATGAAAGGACCAAAGTATTCATTTTCTCAAAGTATAGAGACCAAAAGTACATAAACTAAAATGACAAAAGTAGAAAGCACAGAGAAAAGCCGCAGCCGATACATAATCTGAACTAATAATTATAAAACAAATAACCAACTCATCGCTTCGCAAGTACCAATGCGACATCAATCCCAATTCCATCAATAGTGCGGACACTAGGGGAAGCATAGCTCCACACCATGGTTGTCAAACTGGGCCACACGACCCAAGACTACTGTGGCCCATCAGCTCGACCACCAACATGTCATACCCTGTGTGGTGTCACGGTCATACTTTCTTTCGACCGTGCGACGCCATAATCTTAGCTCAATCATGGCCAGCTTTACAGGGAACTTTACCCCAATACACTTTTTCCACCATTTTGTTGCTTCATTAGACCTTAGGCAAGGTTAATTAACTTCCTTTATCGAGCTTCACTATATTTCTACATCACAATACCGTCTTGAACATTCACCCAACTAACCACACGCAAAAGTATCCTTTCACTCATCGTTGGCTTAGTCTCACATTGGTGTTCGCAACTACACATGTAACTTAACTCTTTCTCGGCAATGCATGCCGCCTCTTCGTGCATCCTATCTTTGAATGCGACTCTAACCGACTCGCCTTTGCTTTAGGCAAATTTCGATAGCTCTACCTTGCCTCTACTTTTGGTCAAGGCCTGTCTAAATGCTCTATCGCATCATTTCTCAACATCTTGGTTTCTCGCCCTTTGTGACCGTCCTATTGCCACACCAAGCAAGGATGTCAATAAGTTCTGACCTATGAATGAGATTTGAACAAGCTTATAATTCACAACGGAGCCCAACAATATCTCAAAATGCCATCCTGAACCTCGGGATGTCATTTCGCTTCATTACCAGTTTGGACATGTTTTTCGAGAATCGACACGTGGTCTCGTCTCCACTACCAAGACCTTTTGGACATCCATCCTTTCGGTTAGTTAACGAGGCATGACGACTTTTGCATTCAYGCCAACTTATTTGTGCGTACCGTCCCKCTACACGGACATATGATGAAACCTCCGCTCCACGGGATAAGGCACAATACCGACACACTCACTCGATATTGTCCCTGAGATTCATGTCCTCAAGGAAACACCCAAGACATTTGGTTTTTGATGCTCGCCCACGCCATGCACATGCATGTGTCGTGGGGTAGCTTGTTTAGGCACGCTTGGCCAGGGGGTGGTGGAGAACTGGCACCATGCCTCCCCCTCTATAGTACATTCTAAGGCAAAATAGATCTCACAAGCATGAACGTCTTTTGGGCGAGGAGTCACTCGCTGACCTACATAACACATTATAACTCCGTTTGACGTGATACTTTGTGTGCTTACACATCTCACTATGGAACACTTAACCCCAAAGCTACACTTAACCCCAAAGCTGCTCGTCGAAACTCCTCCYAGAACCTTGACTTTTTCAGTCCCAGTTGGGGCCCACTCGACCCTTCTCGGACTCAACTAAGACCACCATTGCCTCTCGGACTCAACTGAGACCACCACTGCCTCTCAAACACTTGTACCTTACTTGGATTTGCTTGTACACTTTATCTTTGGTGTCTTTAGTAATGCATCATTATCCTTTGTCGCATCACAACTCTTTTCTCTCTGGCCATTTCTTGGCCTAGCATACGACTATATCGAGGTACTTGCTTGATGATGTCGAGGTGCTTGCTTGACTTGTCGATCTACTTACTGACTCGTCGAGCTACTTGCTTTCTAGACCATGTTAGCCACCTGCTTCATTGTGCTAATTGTTTAATTAGCACTGACATATGGTGTCAACCTTCTTGCTTGCTACTGGCTCGCTTTCGTGGGTTGTCCCACTCTCTTACAGTAGTGTTGAGACACGTGGCACGTGCGTTGCCACTGTTGCCCATTGGACCATCAACCTGCGCGCCACACCTAACATGGCGTGTACAACTCCAATCTTGCACTATCTCTCAATCAAGGGTGCCCCTCATGCAATGGTTACTTGGAGAAGGGGCACAAAGACGTCTATAAATATAACGGATTCCCAAACCATATAAGGTACACAACACAACCCACTACACATTCATTGAGTCTTTCACTTCATTAGTTCTTACATTGACTTTAACATTAGAGCATGATATTTTGGTACTATGTCGGAATTAGCTCACTCTTTCTTTAGCCAAACCATCTTTGGCCCACCAGCCCAAGTTGAGATTTCGTCTTCCTCTTACTCACAATCCGTCTGGTCAAGTTTAAATCACTTGGTACAACTGATATCTACAAATTACATTTTAATCGTTAGTGTCAAAATAAATATTTTGAAAGTATAATGATCAAAATGAATCAAAACCAACCTAGAACCAAAATAATTACAAAGATAATACAGTTTGGGAAACATATAGTTAGAGAGAGAGAGAGAGAGGTGCTAAAACACAATTTATGCAAGAAAAATGACCAACCACCAGACAAACAGGAGAGGAGAAGAGAGGAGAAAAATGAGGAGTCGAGTTCTCCGGAGGGAGGAACCAAAATCTGATAACAGAAAAAACGGAGGCAACCAAAATTGTGAGCCTCTAATACGTCTTTTCCAAATCAGGAACTTCAAAACTTGGTCCAGAATTTCCCTTCCTCCTCACAATTCACAATTCAATGCAGTTTCAGTTTCAGTTGCAGAGCCTCATCTCCTCCTCCGCACCTCCGCCATGGGATTGCCGCCGGCCAGACACCACTCTCCCCGCTCCCGCTCCCCCTCCTACCTCCTCCCCTCCGTCCTCGCCTTGTCCTTCCTCTCCCTCGCTTTCCTCGTCTTCTACAAGGTCTGAAACCCCCATTTCGTCGAACACCTGGTGGGTGGGTCTCCTAATCTTGTTTCTCTTTCCCGTTTCAGGTGGACGACTTCGCTGCGCAGACCAAGACCGTTGTTGGGCACAATCTGGATCCCACGCCGTGGCATTTGTTCCCCCCCAGGTCCTTCGACGACGAGACCCGCCACGCCAGAGACCTCAAAATCATCCGCTGCTCCTACCTCACTTGCCGCTACGCCACCAACACTAATACTTCTGCTGCTTCTTCACGCCCTTCGCGTCGCGCTCAATCCAGCTCCAAATGCCCGGACTTCTTCCGGTGGATTCACCACGATCTCGATCCCTGGGCTCGGAGCCGAATCTCGACGGCCCAATTGGCGGAGGCCCAGAAATTCGCGGCGTTCCGCGTTGTGATCGTGGAGGGGAAGCTGTATGTGGATATGTACTACGCGTGCGTGCAGAGCAGGGCGGTTTTCACGATCTGGGGATTGGTTCAGTTGCTTGAAAGGTTCCCTGGAATGGTGCCGGACGTGGATATGATGTTTGATTGTATGGACAAGCCGAGCATCAACCGGACCGAGCACCACGACATGCCGCTGCCTCTGTTTCGGTACTGCACCACCGAGGCTCACTTTGACATTCCATTTCCCGACTGGTCCTTCTGGGGATGGTAACTCGCAAGCAAATCCCTTCTCTGCTTCTTTATTTCTCATCATATTACTGTTGGAATTCATGTCTTCACTGCCTTTTTGTCATCTTCTAAATGATGTGACTCAAACTTTAATTTTGTCTCTTATATATATATATATATATTTTATTATACCCTTTCTGTAATTGGGTGATATGGCATCACATGATACTTGGTTAAATTTAGGCCAAGTAAAAATCGAATTTTCTACCAACTTAGAAATTTTGACGAGAAATTAGCAACTTGCCTCCTTTGGGTGCTTAGTTTTTCCTTTAAATTTATGTCAACTCATTAACAGGGTGTTTGGGATGTGGGTTTGACTTAAAATGTTAAGCTTTCTAAACTTTCACTCCATACACAAGTTTCTTAAAATTCTCTATTTAAATCTCTAAGCTTGAGAGTAAGTATCATGCTGTTTAAGCTTGTGATTATTCTATCTGAATATTCATGAACCAAAAGGATATAATTGAGAAATGTTAAAAACACAAGGGATTAAATTGAAGAAACGCTCCAACAATGTGGGAATAAAACATAGATATTTAGGGAAACTTATGTTATTTCATGATGGATGTGGGGATGTGATGCAGGCCAGAAGTGAACTTAAGATCATGGAGTGAGGAGTTTGAAGATATCAAGAAAGGCTCGAAAAAGTCGAGTTGGTCGAGTAAGCTTCCTCTAGCTTATTGGAAGGGAAATCCAGATGTTGATTCTCCTGCTCGTACTGAGCTGTTGAAATGCAATGACACAAGACAGTGGGGTGCTCAGATCATGCGTCAGGTTCAAACAGGAACCTTCAACTTCTCTCTTCGTATTCTTTTTTATACACAAACCATTGTTGCTGAGACCTGAGAAAAACCTCTTTTTCATGGCAGAACTGGGTAGAAGAAGCAAGAGCTGGTTTTGAGCAATCCAAGCTATCCAACCAATGCAACTACCGGTTAGTATGCTTTAAATTCTTAAGTAGGAGTGTGCAAAAAAGGTGAAAAATTGAACCGAATAGATCGGTTTGGTTCGGTTTTTTTTTCCGGTTTTAAAAGTGGGAAAACTGAGTTTGTGTGGTTTGTTTGTTCAGGTATAAAATCTATGCTGAAGGGTTTGCTTGGTCAGTGAGCTTGAAGTACATTCTTTCATGTGGTTCAATGTCTTTGATTATTTCACCTCAATATGAAGATTTCTTCAGCCGTGGTCTTGACCCTTTGAAGAACTACTGGCCCATCCCCTTCACTAATATGTGCCAATCTATTAAGCATGCTGTTGACTGGGGAAATAGTCATTTGCCTGAGGTATTATATTCTTACTTCCATACATTCTTTTCTTGCTTCCATGTAATACTATACCTCTCCTCTTCGAATCAGTTGGTTGAATCCATGAACATTCATTTTTGTTAAACATTACGCTAAACTCAAAAGCTTAAAAACTTTTGTCGAATGTGAACTTTAGAATCTCTCTTCATATTAAGTTAAATCACCGTTAAATCTAAAAGTTTAAGCTACAGTGAGATGTTTGACTCATGGGTTAGGTTTATGTAGCCCAAAGTAATTAAAAGAGTGGAACCTACGTTTGGTATTTGCTAATCTCACGACTACATGGACTCTAGTTAGATAAATTCGAATCTATATGAAATGTTTCTTATACCATATACTAAAATTTTAGTAATTATAAACCTACAAACTGATTATACACATTTTTATAACTGCAAAATTATGCAAACCCAAACTTTCCAACCGCTACTTAGGCTTATCAAAATCGTGAACCAAACATCCCTTAAGATTATGTTAAATAATTTAATCTTTCTCTAATATGTTCTCAAGAATTTACAATGCCTATGTTCGAGAATGATACGTCTAAAACGTGTATTTTGAGACAGACTGAGGCAGTAGGACAACGGGGACAGGATTTCATGGAGAGCTTGAGCATGGACACAGTCTATTCTTACATGTTTCACCTCATTAGGGAGTACTCAAAGTTGCAGGACTTCAAGCCAACCCCACCACCATCTGCTTTAGAAGTATGTGCTGAGTCCTTGCTTTGCATCGCCGATGAGATGCAGAGGTCATTCCTCGAGAAGTCAGCCACCTCCGCTTCTTCAGTTCCTCCGTGCTCGCTCGACCGTGCAGGTAGCGATATCGTTTACAGTTGGTTGCAGCAAAAGAAGACAGAGAAAGCAATGCAGGAGGAAGGGCTGGCTGCACAGATACCCTTAAAGTAGCGAATTTTGTTTGATTGGTTTTCATTCCATTTTAGAGCATTGAGTGAGAGTAGTGTTTATGATTTAGTGGTTTATAGTTGATTTTAGTGAAAGTTTGAAATACTAGGTTTGCATAGTGAGAGGACATCACTGTCCAAAATTTCTTTTTCCACCATCCATATTTTTTTATATATAATAAAAAATATAGATAATATAAAGATTTAAATACTACATTGGTCATTATATTTTTTACTTTGGTTCATTTTAATACATGTATTTTCAACTTTTGTTCAATTTGGTCATTGTACCTTTAAAACGTTTATTTGATCTTTGTAATTGTAATAAGTGACCAATTTGGTCCTTGTTTATAAATTTTAAAACAAATTTTATACATATTGGAAACCTTTAGTACAAATTTATAGAAACTTAGTGATTGAATTGTCACGCTAAAATTGCATTAAAATGAGCGTTTTATAAGTACTTGTAAGAAACAAAATGCACGTGAAATTTCATAATTTTATTTTAAATTATTAAAAACATAAAAGTTAATTAAATAGTTAAATTTTTCAATATAATTTGACTATTTTCTCTCTTCGTGTTTATATCACTAACATTTTCGTAGTATCCTTCCCCGTAGCTAACACAAAATGTTTACTCCTATGGAGATATATGTCAATTATGCTATGATCACTTTGCGGTAACATTTTAGATTAATAAAAAGAAAAACCTCAAAAAGAATATATCTCAAAAATATAAAATCAAAATATAAACTTAGCGAGGAAATGAAAATTGCATAAATTTAGAAGTTCCAAAATCCGATGCCTAGCTAAGTTGAATGATAAATAAGAACTAAAGAGAACGATGAGAGGTCCATATCGGTTGCGCCGTTGTTGCCACTGCCACCTTTTCCGACCTCCTCCTTCACCTTTTCTCCTATCAGCCATATTACAATATATATTACAAATCCAAAACCGTACGAAATATATGAGACAAAGTAAAATATTTATATACTCAAAGAGAGCGAATGATAGAAACAAATAGACCTTTTTCAAAATTGGAAAAGAAAATTTTGAAATTTTTATTATTAGAAATTTAGAAGGTTTTAAGTTTTAATTTAGGTGAAAAAATTGGTATAAGTTTCGATTTAAGACATCCGTGTTATTAAATTTTATGGCTTTTGAGTTTCTTTAAATTTTAAGATTAAATGTAAATACTCTATATTTTTAGTGATAATATTCCTAAAGTCAATGTTATTAATTTAATTTTACAGTCTATTTGTGTAGAAGGATGAGACTCAAAACAAATTAAAGAAATTTAATAAAGGAGATATAAGGTTTTATTAGTTTTTAAAAAAATTAATGGTTTTCTTTTACATGTTTCTTGATTTTATCCCAACGTGAAATGTGATAATTATTTATTATTGTAAAGAAAAAAAAAACAGATCATTTATTAATAGTTAAAAAATACGTCACACACTACTTGCAATAACATAAAACCTAGAGACAATGATAGCGGAACCATCGTCTGATGGTGATGGTGTGTTCAAAATAAACACAGATGCATCTTTAATTTTTTGTCTGATGAATTTTCTGTAGGTTTGGGTATAATTATAAGGAACCATCAAGGTCAAGTTATGGTAGCGGAGTTGAAGTACTTGGCAAATGTTGCGTTGATGGATGAAGCAGAAGCCCTGGCAGCGATGGAAGGTCTTCGACGTCCGAATCAGGAATTTCTCAAATCCAGCTTGAGACTGACTCTGGATTTGACTCATCCCCTTTTAATTAACCCTAGTCCATTTGAATCAAGAACTACCCATGGTGGTTAAAAATAAGCTAAATTCATTTCTTCTAACTTTTTTTTTTATGAAGAATTAACTCTCATTTAAAAATAGGATAGCAAAAGGCAAAAGACGTCTTATTTTCATCAACTAAATTGTTTTTGTAAAAGTTAACCGAGAAGAGGAAAACTTTAGACATAAAAGTTCTGTTTAATAGCCTAGACATAGGACCTTAACCCTTTGTTGCAATTGATTTTTACTAAACTAAGGTTTTTTTAATTAATAATAGACATATTAGTAAGAGATTTAAAAGTTCGAGATCTCTCGATRGGTTAAGAAGCAGAATTCTATCAATTTCGTACTAGGTATATGTTTTATAATTCTTTTGATACATATGAGAATACTTGTTACAACAAAATTTCAAATTTAAATCTATAAAATTTAAAAGGGATACTTTTAAAGTTTAAAGTATAAATTGCAACACTTACCCAAATTTAATGCGCAATTAATAGAATTAAAAGTTTAGGATAAAAATTAATATATATTGTCAAGTTCATTACAATTATATGAATTTATGCTCCGAATCTTAAATTCTGTATCCGCCGCTTCAAAATAGTATTCAAACCTAATATAAAATACCAATGATACAAACTTTTAAAAGTAGATAAATGTGAATGTATAAAAACGAAAGTTATAATTAAAATATTTTTTTAGCACAAGTTATAATTTAATTTGAAGGAAAAGAGAAAAAAAAAGGGTATAAGCCAATCCCTTTTCTCACAAAATATTCCATAATTGATTTAGATTCTTTTTTTTTAAATATTTTTATTTGATTACAAAACATAGAAGTGATACGATCTTATTTAATTAATGTATGAGGATTTTTTTTCTTTGAAAAGAAAAAAAGAATGTTAGAATAAATAAACAAAAGTTTAGGGAATGGGCAAAATGGGAATTTCGATTTAAATAGAGAAATTGAAGTAGGTGTCTTTATTTAGCTCTCTATTAAAAATGACAAATTTCCATTTTATATTTTTCAGCCGTTTTGTAAACTTTATTTTGACTGTCTATTTTTAAAATTAAAATAAGTTTTTTTCTTCGCCCTCCCTCCTTTATTTTACATTTCAAAAATATCCTTTAAATTCTCCCTCTTCATTTTACTTTTCAAAATAACTTTTTTATTCTATATTTGATTTTATCCTTTTCAATTTTTCCTAACTATCTCTCCTTTAGATTTTAATTTCAACATGTTTATATCATTTATTAAGATTTTGTTTTTTTATATTATTTTCTTCTTATTTTCTTCATTTTATTATTTTCCTTACTCTCTTTGGTATATTGAATCGTTTCTCCATATTTATTAAATTTTATTTTCGTTAAATTTTATTTAATAGTTTTGGAAGATTTAGAGTCTTCTTGGTTGGAAACTCTGTATTCTGTTTTTTGTTTTCAGATAAATAAGCCTTTGGCAGGAGATTCGTTTTTTTATTTTTAAGAGTGTCTTCAAATTCATAATTTCAAATTGAGATAATATCTTGGGAGAGCTATTTTTGAATCTTAATTTCATAAATGTCTTTAGTTTTTAAAGTGTAGATGTTTRCAGGTAGGATTTTCTGTTAATACCGATTCTACCCTTATTTATTGCATTTTATTTTATTATAGTTTTTAAATTTAAAAGATTTGAATCCTTAATTTGTAATTATATTCATTTAATTATTGGGAAATTGGGATTTTTGACCCCTTTCAATAACCACTTTGGACTTTTGACCCCCTTTTGATTTTTACCTATTTATGACCCTCCACCTCAGATTTCTGACCCCTCCCCTTATTTTATCATGTAAATTGACTAAATTGCCCTCATTTCATAATAAATGCATTTATGATATAATA